CCGCCACCACTAACACCACTAGCCAGCCACTCACAGGGGGTGTCTTCTTCCCATATTTGAGGCACCTCAGCCTCAGCAGGGTTATCCCCACTTTGTGCCATGATGTTTTCCAGGCTGAGGGATTTCCCCTCCCCCAGGTCCTCACAGAAATGCTCAGCAAATCTGCAAACCTGTTCCTGGGGGTCGTAGATTGAATCTCCGTTCTTTCCCCTAAGGATGGTAATAGGTGTGGTGCTGCAGGTTACTTTTTTGATGGAATTAAAGAGCGATTTGTGATCGTGGGCCATTGAGGCAGACTCCATCTCCTCAGCAACACACGACCACCAACCATCCTTGCAGCGCCTCACGGCTCTCCGAACCTCCGAGCGAAGGCTGCGCTAAGCCTCATTCTCTGACAGTGGGATGCTGTAGAGTCTACAGCATCCCACTGTCAGAGAATGAGGCTACAGTCTACAGTGTAGACGATGAGAGTGGGCCTGTCGCTTTTTCTCAACCAGCATGAACACCACCTCTGTCAGCCAGGGTCTCTGGGGAGGTCTGGATGGTGTACCCAAAGCAGCCATTGCAGCTGCATGAGCCACAGTCCTAACCTTGCTCATTTTCCCTCGACATCAGGAGTGGGGGATGATGCAAACCCCAGCCGCAATCGATGATGCAATTCTCGCTTACAACTTTCATCAGCGAGCTGAGACCAGGCCACTATGGGTTTGAATGGGGTCCTGGGTGTACACCCACCACCGGAGTGGGAGAATGGCAGACACATCTTACAGATGACAGATGGGCAGTGTCTCACCACCCAGTGTCTCACTACCCAGTGTCTCACCACCCAGTGTCTCACCACCCAGTGTCTCTCTACCCAGTGTCTCACTACCCAATGTCTCACTACCCAGTGTCTCACTACCCAGTGTCTCTCTACCCAGTGTCTCACTACCCAGTGTCTCTCTACCCAGTGTCTCACCACCCAGTGTCTCTCTACCCAGTGTCTCACTACCCAGTGTCTCACCACCCAGTGTCTCACCACCCAGTGTCTCACCACCCAGTGTCTCTCTACCCAGTGTCTCACTACCCAGTGTCTCACTACCCAGTGTCTCACTACCCAGTGTCTCACTACCCAGTGTCTCACTACCCATTGTCTCACTACCCAGTGTCTCTCTATCCAGTGTCTCACTACCCAGTGTCCCACTACCCAGTGACTCACTACCCAGTGTCTCACTACCCAGTGTCTCACTACCCAGTGTCTCACCACCCAGTGTCTCACTACCCAGTGTCTCACCACCCAGTGTCTCACTAGCAGTGTCTCACTAGCAGTGTCTCACCACCCAGTGTCTCACTACCCAGTGTCTCACCACCCAGTGTCTCACTACCCAATGTCTCACTACCCAGTGTCTCTCTACCAAGTGTCTCTCTACCCAGTGTCTCACCACCCAGTGTCTCACTACCCAGTGTCTCACTACCCAGTGTCTCACTACCCAATGTCTCACTACCCAGTGACTCACCACCCAGTGTCTCACCACCCAGTGTCTCTCTACCCAGTGTCTCACTACCCAGTGTCTCACTACCCAGTGTCTCACTACCCAGTGTCTCTCTACCCAGTGTCTCACTACCCAGTGTCTCTCTACCCAGTGTCTCACTACCCAGTGTCTCACTACTCAGTGTCTCACTACCCAGTGTCTCACTACCCAGTGTCTCACTACCCAGTGTCTCTCTACCCAGTGTCTCACTACCCAGTGTCTCTCTATCCAGTGTCTCACTACCCAGTGTCTCACTACCCAGTGTCTCACTACCCAGTGTCTCTCTACCCAGTGTCTCACTACCCAGTGTCTCACTACCCAGTGTCTCACTACCCAGTGACCTGTGTGATGATGATGGTGGTGATGATGGTGGTGGTGATGATGATGATGGTGGTGGTGATGATGATGGTGGTGGTGGTGATGGTGGTGGTGGTGATGATGATGGTGGTGATGTTGGTGGTGATGATGATGGTGGTGATGGTGGTGATGATGATGATGGTGGTGGTGGTGATGATGATGGTGGTGGTGATGGTGGTGATGATGATGGTGGTGGTGATGGTGGTGATGATGATGGTGGTGATGGTGGTGATGATGATGATGGTGGTGGTGGTGATGATGGTGATGGTGGTGGTGGTGATGGTGGTGGTGGTGGTGATGATGATGGTGGTGGTGATGGTGGTGATGATGATGGTGATGATGGTGGTGGTGATGATGATGGTGATGATGATGGTGGTGATGATGATGGTGATGATGATGGTGGTGATGATGATAATGATGATGGTGGTGATGGTGGTGATGATGATGATGGTGGGGCTCCGTTCTGTTTCTCCTCCTTGGTGCTGCCACACAGGAGGGCTTCCTGCGAGCGCTCGAGCCGGGGACTCCCACCTAGGAGAGGAGCCACAGACGTCGAGCTCCGACGGGCAGCGGCAGTGGAGACGAGTAGAGAGAGAGGAGAGAGTGAGGAGAGAGTGAGGGGAGAGAGTGAGGAGAGAGAGAGAGGAGAGAGACAGAGAGAGGAGAGAGACAGAGTGAGGAGAGAGACAGAGTGAGGAGAGAGGGGAGAGAGAGAGGAGAGAGTGAGGAGAGAGAGAGTGAGGAGTGAGAGAAAGCGCATCGTAATTTCTGAATCGTGATGTAAACATTTTAAACTTGAGGGAATTCATGTCTTGGCAGTGGCAATGAGAGATGCAAACATTGAAATGGTTCGGGGCTTGAATCGGATGAAAATTCAGAGGCGTTAAAACGTGCAAACTACCAACTGAAATGTTCATTATTTTAAAGAAATTCCACAAGAACAATAGTCGTGGGGTACGTGTTGCTGTGTGCGTTTACACAATTTGACTTGAAGTCTTCCCGCAGAAATCTGCTTACACAGAAACAAAACATACAGCCAAGGAATTGTGGTGACGTGTTGTTTTAAATTGTCTGAATTTTTGTAGAACACTTTTAAGTCACAACATCAGACAGTAGTTTTGATCGTTGATGAATAATGTTTGTGTGTTTAGCGTTACCGACATAAAGTGCGTGCAAGTAAGTCGTGATTTTTAAACGTAATCTTCACTTATCATGGAACACAAATCTGAGTAGTAGTAGTTGTATCATGGCAAGGAGCTGTGTGAACATATAGCTGGATACTCGCAGTCACCTCAACACAAGTCATTCTCATGGTCTGAGAAAAGGATTATTTGAAACTCTTTCGGGAAAAAACAAGTATTACATAAATAATATAGATAATAGAAATAAGAGAATTGTTGAAAAATAATTATTTTATTTTATTATAATGTCTAAGCCACGCAGGAAAACATTGAAATTGATCAATAACGGTGAGTGTTGACTGAGACTGAGTGATTGATGTGAAGCTATCTGCAATAAATGTGACACGTTGAGTCTCTTAAAACATCTGCGCCGTTCTCTCGCCGCCGTGCTGCAGGAACAATGTTCCTATCTCTACCCGATACCCTATCTGATACCCGTACCCTACCCGATACCCGTACCCTACCCGATACCCGTACCCTACCTGATACCCGTACCCTACCCGATACCCGTACCCTACCTGATACCCGTACCCTACCTGATACCCGTACCCTACCCGATACCCGTACCCTATCTGATACCCGTACCCTACCCGATACCCGTACCCTACCCGATACCCGTACCCTACCTGATACCCGTACCCTACCCGATACCCGTACCCTACCTGATACCCGTACCCTACCTGATACCCGTACCCTACCCGATACCCGTACCCTACCTGATACCCGTACCCTACCTGATACCCGTACCCTACCCGATACCCGTACCCTACCCGATACCCGTACCCTACTCGATACCCAGCTACCCGTACCCGACCGGGTAGCCGGGTAGCCGTTTGCGACCCTGGTGCGGCCGGGTACGGGTAGGCCGTGAGTCACTGGTGAGTCACCGTTTGTCACTCATTTCGTGTGACGATGTGTGACGAGGGGGGGGGTCAGACATGTGTGACGAGGGGGGGGGTCAGACATGTGTGACGAGGGGGGGGGGCAGACATGTGTGACGAGGGGGGGGGGGTGAGAAATGTGACGTCACATCAAAATGCGCGACTTCAAATAAATACGGACGACACGTTCTACTTAACTAAACAGACTTTGTAATAAATGTTTTCTCCTACAACATCAGAGTGCAGCGCCACACTGAATACGCACTACAATGACAACAGTTTACAGCGATTTGAAGCATGTTTTATTTTTTTAGGGGGGGGCAGAGCTTTGTGACGTCATATTTGAGGGGGGGGGCGGAGATTTTGTGACGCCGTGTGACAAAGGGGGGGGGGGGGGGTCAAAAATATTCCAAAATCTCGTGACGTCATTTATGGCGTCTCATCGCAGGCGAACATCGTGAACACTTTGGGTTCAACGACGGAGCTGGAGTCACCGAGAGGCGAGGTCACAATCCGCTTCTACTGTTTCTCTTGTTCTACATCTCACAGCCAATTCAGTGGAATTTCCAATGCAACCAGCCAGGGGAAGATGACACATCTGATGGTTGTTGTGGAGTCACTGGCCGACACCATCAACGCAGCAAACTAGAGAACCCGTTTCCTCCTCCACCCACTCACGCGTTAGTGCCTCAACCTCGCAACGCACGAGTCACTAGAGACAAAGTCGACCCCCTGTGAACAGCACAACAAGGAGAGTGTGAGACTGTGCACCTCGCAACGCACGAGTCACTAGTGACAAAGTCGACCCCCTGTGAACAACACAACAAGGAGAGTGTGAGACCGTGCACCTCACAACGCGTCACTAGCGGCAAAGTCGACCCTCTGTGAACAACACAACAAGGAGAGTGTGAGACTGTGCACCTCACAACGCGTCACTAGCGGCAAAGTCGACCCTCTGTGAACAACACAACAAGGAGAGTGTGAGACTGTGCACCTCACAACGCGTCACTAGCGGCAAAGTCGACCCTCTGTGAACAGCACAACAAGGAGAGTGTGAGACTGTGCACCTC